GTGGTGTGACGGTCCGCATCTCGCTAGCTCTCAGGCAATTGTAACTGTACTCTATCAACATCAAAAATCTACTGTCAACCTTTGTATTTAGGAAAGGACGCGGTGGCCGGAAAAGGGACGGTATGATATAACATTCACGCCAGAAAGGGCACCAACAATAGAAACAGTTGCCAGCACCCAAGCAACCTGAAGTGCAGCCCAGCACCCGGCTGCAAAGTGGTGGGTGCATTTCTGCCACAAAAAGCGATCTGTCCAATCGTGGCCGCAGCGCACATGTGTGCCATGCAGCACAACCATGCCACTGCACCCAACCATCACATGAGAATCCCTCTTGTCAGAGATGGAGCTGGCTGTGCCTGTTGCTGCTGCTGTTGTTTTTGCTGCTGCTCCTGTTGTTGCTGCTGCTGTCGCCGCTGCTGCTGCTGCTGCAAGGCGCCTGCTGCTTGCAGCACACTTTCAACAGCGGCCAAGCTGTTGAAGCAGCGGCCAAGCTTAGTGCAGGAGATTGAACTCCACTTGGTTCCCAGCGCAGCATGAACACTCTGAGGCCACTGAAGGCGGCCAACGCCACGATGTAGCAGAAGGCCCTCCATTGAGGCCTGCAGGCTTGCCAACATGCAAGCGCCACAAGCAGTGCCCACGCCACAGCTGCCATCAGGACCAACAACTGTCATAAAACCTTCTTCACAGCAACTCGGCGCCCAGGTGGCTCCGACCAGTACCATGTCGCCTTCTCCGCCTACACACAAGCAGAGGCAGCAATTGCATTAACCATGCATGTCTGAAACCCACTAATCCGCTGCTAGGAAAATTGACCAAGCATGCCAGCCTCTTATCTGATGCTGTAAGATAAGTCAAGCAGCACCTACCTGGCAGTGCGGCAGTGCTGGCAGCTCACCATGTCATCGGACCACTTGCTGAGCCGCTGCATCATGTCGTCCCAAGCATCCGGCTCGGCGTGATCTGCAGATCGGCACAACACGACAGTCACAATTGAGGGACATGTTCGTCAAAAAAAGGCTGCAAAGCGAGGACAGAGGCGATAGTGCCAATCGGGCATGATCCCTGCTGCTGTCATCGGGCTTACCATCTGCCCACTGATCGGCCAACTGATGAAGCCTTCCCCATCGCACAGCAACCTTTCCCATCCCACATCACAGTGCTAAGCTGAGGCGTGTCACCTGTTGCTGCTGTGGGATGATGGGAGATGCCCGGGCGGGGACCATCAAGGCACATGCGACGGCAGGGGAATGGCACGCATGAAAGCACAACCCCGCAGGGCGCAGGCAGACTGAACCACTGCAAGGCGTCCGTTGCCGCCACACCGCATTTACTCCCGTGCGTCCAGCAATGGCTCACCTGCTGCTCCTGTTGAGGGACCCAGGAGAATCCAAAGCCAAACGATGCATACATGGGAATGGGCAGCAATGGGCATGGGGTGCAAGGTCGAGCAAAGTCAAGACACGTTCTGCACCAGCATGCTTCATGCTGGGCCCCTCCCATGGTGGCGCATGCGGCTGCTGTTGACAACTAGGACTGCTGCAGCATGGATTCAGACGATGCGGTTGCGCCAAGCGCAAACCGCCTGCCATTGACCTCACTGTGATGCTGCCATGTACGGGAAGGCCATGGGTCAGAAACCCACCTGCAGCAGCTGTTTTGAGAATGGCTTTCCGACGGCGTTCGTCCATGGCCATGTAGGCCTGGCACGTAGCGTCGTCAACGTTGATGAACACCAGCGTCATCGCGACCTTGTCTTCGTCGCAAAGATCATCCTGGCTATCCACCCAGCGGGTCAGCTGCACCTTCGCAGAGTCCGCCATGACCTTGTAGCTGCAAGTCGATGATAATGCACGGAGGGGCAGAGGAGGAAGGGAATTGAACGGCGGCCAAACACGACGGCTGCGCAAAAACTGGGTATCGGAGGAACCCACGCGAGCTGCGATGACAAATTGACAAATGGAGGTAGGCGTGCAATCACATCTTGGTTCGAAGGTTGTAATCCAAGCCTTCCCAAACCCCTGTGCTGCAATGAAGGCAACTAAACAGATCGAGTTCGCAAAGTCACAACTCAATCAAGGAGCAGTGGAGGTGGGTGTCGACACTCCAGTGGTAGGACTGCACTGCTACGGGCGTGTACCAGCAACGCGCCCCTGATCAGGATCCAGCCACGCTCCTACCTAGCGAACAAACCAACCCCCGCAGTTGTCCACCGCCTTGAATGTTGTCAAGGGAGTAAGCAAGAAGATGGGAATTTGATCAAAGGTTGGGAGGCAGTAGCCGGCGCATCGCACGCAAACTGCAAAAAACGCAAAGCCATGCACAGGTGGCACGCGAATTGGGTCCAACCACCAAGCAGAGGGCCCCAGCAGCGATGTGATGCCTTGCCCTGCCAATGATGGGCAGCAGCGCCAAGAGCGCGCCGCCACCCGGCACCCAGCCTGCTCGCACCCAGCGCACCCAGCAGCAACTATGCACCCTTGAGCCTCCTCCCAAGACAGGCTGCAGCGCAACACATGGAGTGGGTTGGGAGGAGACGATGAGCTGCTCAAAGCTCTGAGGGGGTTCAGCCATGCTGCAAACTCAGCGTTGTCGCCACTGACGGTGTCAGGGCGAGGCCTGCCCATGAAGCCCAGCCAGCACTGTTACCTGGTCTTGCTCGCACCTAGAGCTCCAGACACGGAGGAAGTGGCGAAGCTGAGACAAGCGGCTGTTTGTCGAGGAGGCAATAGATTGTGCGCACTTGAGGCCTGGCTCTGCACGTCCGGGACACCGCTACCGCTGAGGGCATAAAATGTATATGATTTTTTTGCAAATGTTGCGCAGCGCGGGTTTCTTCCGCAGAGCCCTTTCTGTGTTACGTACTCGAAGTCATGCACGGGCGAGGCCGGCACTTGCGATTGGTGGAGCTATTTCATCTGAGGTTGTCTCTCAACTGCAGGAAACCATTCTAATTATGTATCGCACCGCAACAGGCCCGAAGACGTGAGTGGCCGTCCCATCTCTACGCTCTCGCTGGGGAGGTGCAGTAGATAGCAAGGGTGTGGCAAGCAGCAGAGTGCTCAAAGCGACTGGGGTGTTCCTTCCCGTACCTGTTCCACCAAGAATCACATCACAAGTCATCTGAGAACCCAGGTGAGTGGATCAGAACGGCATCGGGGCTTGAGCTCGGGTACAGGAAAAGCGGCAAGAAGGGGCCACGGTACCCAGTGTGTCCCCATTCGGTGTGGCAAGAGGTCGCAACGTTGGTTCGAGCGCTTCACGCCAGCAGCCTCGGACGCCCTGAAATCAGGACATCATCCACCACTCCGTGCTGAGTCTGTTGACGTGTTTCACTGATCAGTTTTGCACCTTAATGGTGAGGAGATGCCTGAGCTCACACGCCAACTGACACTTCCTTGCTTGCAGGATGGCCTTGACTGACAGAGATTCGAGCCGACCCATATCTCGCACCTCCTTTCAACAACAAAAGCCAAGCGTGCCTGCTTCCTGGCAAATGGTTGTTCAAGTGCAACGAACAGGCCCTGAGTTCTGCTTGCGTAGCCACACATTGCCCACGGCACCCTTCCTGGTTTGTGTGTGGGATGCTGTAGAGCTGAACGCGTGGCCGCCCAATTAAAGTTGCATGCTGCAAATGCTGGCGTTCGCAAAAGCCGATGCACTCGACAATGTGGCTGTGCTGCTGAAGCCCGCTTTATCCACACCGATGTGACGGCCACGTGTCCTGCACCACCCGCCTGTCGCAACAGCCCAATAGAGGTTGTAATAGATAGATAGATAAGTTACTCATGCCATAGCATCACTGCCATCGGCCCCGCGCTCATCAGAGCGAACCTCCTCATTCCTAACCTTCCAACAGATCTGCCAGCAAGCATACACATAAGGGGCAACAATATCAGCAAGGACGTAGCCACCAAAGAAATCAGAATCAAGCAACTTGTAAGCCTTCTCATCATTCTGCATATGCTGCAACATATATATACATATACATGTATATATGTACATATATATATGTGGAGGCAGCGCTTGGATTGGCTGAGGCAGCATGTGAGTTGGCAGCGCTTGGTGCTGCACAGGGGTTCTTTGGAAGAGACGAGGGGGGGGGGATCACTGCGGCCATGCGCGAATGAGACATGATTCTGTCTGGGCGCGCTTGCTTGCTCATGTGCATGACGCCCGCTTTGTACGAGCTGCCATGTTTGAAGCTGCTGAGATGGGTGCGAGATGCGCTGCTTGTCAGCGCTGTGTGTGGATTGTGGGATTCAGGGGAGGCACGACGGTGCGATGTCAAGCGCAAGGAGGCCGACTCGTATCACCTTAACATGATTCAGGTTCCATAGCCGCATCTCATCTGATCGCTCATCTGACCTCGCTTGCACGGATTTCGAAACACCCTTCTTGACCAGGAGCTGAGCCCACTGCGTTTGGCGGCAGCCGCCGCGGCGCACGCACCAGGGCTGCAGATGCCTGCTGACTGGGCCGATTACCCAACTGCTCCTGTATTCCCTGTGATGTTACAGTTGGTGTGATCACCCGCCCCCCTGGACCTGGATCTAGCGCAAGCGGTTCATGGGGTTGGGGGGAGCCTG